GCCGTCGCATCATCCAGGTGGGGCTGCACACTGGTGGTGGTGGAGGGGAGTCCCCATTACCTGTAAAGCGCTTTGAGTGGAGTATCCAGAAAAGCACTATATAAGTGTAAGCAATTATTATTATAATAATTGTTATTATTAATGGCAACATGGGACAGTGGTGAGTCAGGGTGACTGTGTGTTTCAGTTCCTGTGTCTTTGAGAGATATTCAATCATTGTCAGAGATTTTCTTTATTTCAGAGATGAACTGTAACTGTAAGTGTGATTTTTTACACACATTTCTTTATTTCAGAGATGGAGTCTGACCAGTCACAGTGGCTCTTTTTGACTCTGCTGTTTCTCCACCAGTCCTGTGTCTCACGATCAGGTACAGTGAGACTCTTATTGGTGTTTTAATCAAGTAATCTGACCAGAACCCAAATTTCACACTCATGACTGAAAATGTCAGTACAGTTTCTGAGCATCGAATTTCTGAAGCTGATACCATCTGGTGTTTCATCTCTTAATTATTATTCTAGGTAGGAATATGAGGGAGTATTGAATAATAGTAGTGCTGTGAGAGGAAAGGCCTGGAGTTGTAGGTGTGACATGAGGTGATGGGTTGCCGACCTGTTACTGAGGAGGCTGTACCAGTGTGACAAGAGCAGCCAAGAGCAGTGTTCTACATAAAATACAGATTTAGTTGAAATTTAATGAAGCTTAAAAAAAGAAGCTATAAGACACCATTAATGGAAAGAGGATCACTGGGAGATGCTCTTGAAGTGTCCTGGGATGTGAGCTGTAATAGTGAGAAACTGATGGGTAAGAGAGAGCTGATGGAGGAGATGGAGGTGTTTCATGAAAGGGCAGGGAGGACAATCTTCCTTATTGATGACACAGACAGCTGCAGGTCTATCTGAATGAATAAGGACTGATTGTTTTATCCAAACGTAGCCCCAGGAGAAGCAGCCATGACCATCAGACACAACTTGATTAAGGAGGACGACTGTGTAGAAAGAGAGAAAAAGGAGAACCAATGACCTTGATAACAGACTCTTGTCACGATCCGCTTCTTTCCAGGCCCTATGCGGATGACACAATCTGGAATTGTGAGGATACAATAGGGAAAATAGGCATGCAGGAGAAGGGTCAGGAGACAGGGGGTGTGTCCCAGGAGTGCAGGTGTCCAGAGGGAGTGAATCCAGGGCGAACAATCCAAGGGTCAATCCAGAGGGGGAATCCAAAACGGGAGGTTGAGTCCAAGACCAGGGGATCCATCCAAAGTAATTAAAAACAAGAACCGGGTCAGAACCGGCGGGACAGGGAATCAGGAACAGGAAACGAAAACCATGACGGAGCCAGACGCGGCAGGACACCTGGCTCTCATGAAACGGGATTCAATGAGAAGCCCCGGGCAAACGCCTGCGTCTGGCTTTAAAGGTGGAACTAAAGAGGGGCTGGAATCAGGAACAGGTGTGGGGAATGGGACAGAACGAGGAAGGGCTGGAGCGCCCTTAACAGGAGGAGTAACGATCGTGACACTCTGAAGGAGATGACAGTAGCCGAGCTTGTGAAAAGCTGAAGGTCTAGGGGAGGTGATGGAAACACATCTTAAAAGAATGACAACACATTCTAATGACAACCCAAAGATAACTACTAGAGTTGAAACGTTGCTTTGCGTCTTGAAGTGAGGATTACATGCTGTTCTAATCTGATGATATAAGATCTAGACAGTGCAAATAGATGCTCAGTCTTGGGGAATCGTTTTCATGGCATTTTTGAATTATCCCAACCAGACAATAGTTTTTTTTTGTGTGAGACACATTGGACAAGTTGTTGGAAAGCAACAACTGAAATCAGTCGAGATTATTGTGAATCCAGGAAGCAAAAATCTTCAAAACAAAATAATTCCAAGAAATTTGGCTTAATTCTATTTTTTTACAATAAGGATCTTGCTGCGCTGGGAACAGCTTGATTCAGTCAATGTCAATAGAACAGAAAGAGGGTTTTCATACTTGGGAGGAGCGAGTAGAGTGAATGAGGAGACAGACCAGATTCATGTCTGCACCTTGTTTAATGTGCCCCTGCAGTAAGAGGGGAACAGGAGGCAGGATGAGGTGTAGGGAGAGGAGGGGCCTTCCAGAGGAATGAGGAGCTATGAATTTGGAGCAAAGGATTATGAGACTTGAGGAAGCTGGATTCCCACTGAACTGTGTTAGACTTCAGGGGACAAGAAAGAGAGAATTTAATGTTCTTGTCATCAGCCTTTCTTCTGCTCATGATGTTGTGTGTCAGTCTGGGATCAATGTCCTCCACTGAGTCACTCTGTCATCAGACCCCTGAGCACCTGTGGGATGAGCTGACAGACTCAGAGACAGTGTCAATCATGGCCAAGTCACACTGCTGACCTGAGAGCTGCTTCACCCTCTCTGCCAGTCTGTGCCTCAGTGTGGGAGTTAATATTGGCTACATCAGGTACTCATCACTTACAGAGGGAGTCCTGGAGTGACCCAAACCACACAGGACATTACAATGTGTCAGAAGTGTGACTGTGGAATATTGAGCCAACACTTGTAGAAGGATTCTGATTGGACCTCTTCCTGTAGCTCATCTCCATTATGCATTGTGAGTCTTGGAATTGCAGAATATCTTATTTTGTGTTTTAAAAAATTCCTGAATAAAAGCATGAGATATTCAGTTCCATGACTACAAACCATGTGCCTCATTTGTTTATGTGTTCAGATTGTGTTGGAAGTATTAATCATTAGTTTAATAATCTGGGCTCTGTGTATGAAGTGTTTCAATATATAAAGGACAGAGAGCAGAGAGAGACACAAAGATAAAGAGCCTGATTTAACCCCCTACTGTCACTGCAGAGTAACAGACCCTCAGTGAACACAGTCACAGCTCTTCTATCAGGGAGTGAAGGTAAGGATCTGAGGGTCCTGGGTGAGAGATCCAGACCCAGTTTGGGAAACACTGGTGTGAGGAAGAGGAGCAGATGGTGAGATGAGACTCACTGATCTTCAGTGCTCCTCAGTCACATGTGGGTCTGAATCAGTGATGGGCTGTTTGTAGAAAACACTGTGTGTCACTGAGCTGCTCTGCTTTATTCTGACAGTGATGATCTACAGTTTGTCTCAGAGTGTTTGTCTGTGTTGAGGTTGAAGACTCATGTCAGCTGTGCTCTTTCTCTTTCAGAGTGGTTTCAGGTTCATGGTCCAGCTGTTCCTGTGTTTGTTTTCCCTGGTGAAGATGCTGTCCTGCCCTGTTACCTCTCACCAGACATCAGTGCTGAAGACCTACAGATCAGGTGGTTTAGAGAGGATTACTATAACCCTGTTTGTTTGTTTGAATTGGGCTTCTATAACTTACGTGTACAGAACCCAGCCTACAGGGACAGGGCTGGTCTATTCCTGGAGAAGCTCCACAGAGGCAATGTGTCTTTAACACTGAGAGATGTGAGACGCTCTGACCGTGGACAGTACACATGCATGGTGCTGTCTGACATGATGGAGGATAACACTGTTATTGAGCTGGTTGTTAGAGGTGAGTGTCTTTCAGTTTTTACCACAGTTATATTTATGGTGAGTCACTGATCACTGCACAGTAAAAATGAGCACTTACACAGTAATGATGAATAATAATACTGTAGCACTTTCGGGTTCACGTGGGTATGTGCCCTTGCCGCTGCTGCCTCAGGTCGCCCCCTCCCCTGCTGGGGACTCAAACCCAGGCCGCCAGCATCACTCAACAGGGAACCAGCCAGCTGAGCTAAAGGGAGATCTCCCCCCAGCCCCGCGGCTGAGGACCCTGCTATCCACAGGGAAGGGCGGTGACGTCACACAACCTGTAATGTCGGCCACATGTGTTACAATACATTAAATAATGACAACAGTACTGATGTATTGGACACAACTTAATTTGAGTTGACTGTGAAATAATATTTATATATGAAGTATAAATTCATACTGTACATACATGTTTCATTGTTTCCAAATAAGCATCGGTGTATTTTAAAGATTTTTTCTTACATTTTCAGGTTGTGAGAAATCCTCTGATACTAATATGATTTGTCTTTGCTAAAGGAGATGATATTAGATACTATTAATACCTTCAAATGAGGTTTAATTTTTACACAATAGTCCAGCTACACAACAATACACTGGATAAAACTGAAATGAACAACTTTGCAGGTTCTTTAATTCACATCAAATCACAGTAGGAACAGTTATAAATGTATTGTAAAACACTGAAAAAGCAGCAGTGAGCTGAGTCTTTAATAATCACTGACTTCAGACATCTGAAGTTTCAATCATAATATTTTTCCATTCAGGAAGAAAGCCACAAAGTTCACAGATGGATAAAATCTTAGTAAATTAAAGAATTCAGACTGTTGAGAAGAACCACACTATACTACACAAAACAATACAACTCTAGACAACACAGCACAACACTACACACTCCAGTCTGCACAGGCAGTTGCATTAGAGGGCACTGAGGATCCTGTGTTGTGATGTCAGCTCAGTCCTCACATTAACACACTTAGTGTCTCAGCTCCTGTCAGCTTCTAGAAGAGCAGAAACAAAATTTGACAACACTAGTGTATCTCATCATCAGCACAACACAACACAGTTCAGCACGGCACTACACAACACAGCACAGAAGAACACTACATGATACAGCACAAAATTACACAACTCAGCAGTACACAGCACAGCACAGAACTACACATTTCATACTTCATCACTCAGTTAATTTGCTGTTAAATCAACTGTAATCCTGGATGGAAAAGCTGTATTTACAAATTTAAAACTTGACAGAGAAACAACTTGAACTGTTGTTTGCAAACTTTTCTTTATCATTGCTGCATGTGTTCTGAAAGCAAAGCACTAAGACAGCTACATTTACTCCAGTGTGCTTTTATCAGCTGTGAAATGTCTCCTGTTGTTTTGAACCCACAGCCCTGGGCTCCCAGCCCTCAGTGTCTCTCCACTCCCCTGGAGGAGATCAGGCCCAGCTGCTGTGCAGATCAGAGGGCTGGTTCCCTCAACCTGCAGTGATCTGGACAGACAGGGATGGAAACGAGGTGACATCACAGCCCCC